CACCCCCTCCTCCCCCCATCCCATATTCGAACTGTCCTTTTGTCTCTCTTTGACTGTCTGGTCAAGCGTTGTCCTGCACTTTTTAACCCTGCCCGTCGACGGCTCGTCTCGCCGTGAATGACAAATATTTGATGGTAGAAAATCGTTTTCGAGTCAGACATTTACTAATCGTAATCCAGAGCCCAAATTACCGGTTTCGAACATTTTGGCCTGGAACGAATACAAGGAGCTGTTTGATGTATGGTTCTAGTATCCCACCCCTTCAGCTGTATGCCATTCTCTCACTCTCTTAACCTTTTCCCGACCCTTTTTTTTTAGTTATTCTTTTCGGAATCATAGCTGATACATGTTCACCATTCCTCCCCGTACCAGAATGTCACCGTTTTCCAAATGATATACCTACTTTTTTTGTCTCTTTTTCTTCTTGACATCGAGTTTCTTTCTTTTCCATCTTCCTTGGATACGTGCTTCTCCTATAATCATCGCCATATTCCCCTTCAAAACGAAACCTTTTGCTTTCCATATATCACCCTCGATGAGGGGACCTAATCTGTGACCGGTTTTGGTCGGATATTCACGTTTCTGTCAATTATCTCAAACTTGAAATACTTTTAAGACATTTTCTTTTCGTGTTAGTTACCCATGATACAAAGTAATTTTAAGAATCGAGTTTGTAGATGCAAACCGTTTCTGACGAATGTTCGCATTTCTGTTCTTTAAAGAATTTGTAATCCATGTTACAAAGTGTTTTCAAGAATCATGTTTGTAGACATCCTACTTTCATTCCTGACTGATTTTCACGTTTCTATTAACTATTCATGGCAGAAAATAATTTTAAGAATGGAGTTTGTAGATGCAAACGTTTCCGACTGATGTTCGCATTTCTGTTCTTTAAAGAATTTGTAATCCATGTTACAAAGTGTTTTCAAGAATCATGTTTGTAGACATCTTGCTTTCATTTCTGACTTATTTTCACCTTTTTATTAACTATTCACGGTGCAAAATAGTTTTAAGAACCAAGTTTGTCGACCTCATTCTTACGTTACTTACTAATTTTCACATTTCTATCAATTATTCATAATCGAAAATAATTAAATCGTACTAGTCGACGTCTTACTTATTTTCTGACGGATGTTCACATTTCTCCATTATACCATGATGCAAAATTCTTTTAAGATCCGAGTTTGTATGCATCTTACTTTGGTTCCTAACTAATTTTCTAATTTTTATTAGCTATCCATGATACAAAATAATTTTAAGAACCGAATTTTTTGACGTCATACGTACGTTACTGACTGATTTTTACGTTTCTATCTATTATCTATTATAGTAAATAGTTTTAAAAATCGAGTTTGTAGGCATCTCACTCGCTTTACTTTCGGATGTTCACATTTCTGTTCTTAAAAAAATTTGTAATTCATGGTACAAAATGCTTTTAAGAACCGAGTTTGTAGACATCTTACTTTCATTCCTGACTGATTTTCACGTTTCTATTAACTATTCTTGGTACAAAATAATTTTAAGAACCGATTTTGTTGGCGTCATACGTAAGTTAATGCCTGATTTTCACGTTTCTGTCAATTATCCATGATATAAAATAATTTTAAGAATCGAGTTTGTATACACGCTTCTGAGAATTATCTATGATATAAAATATCGGGTTTTAAGTCACCCTATCTTACGTTGCTCTTATTCATTAGCGAAAATTTGTACAACTTACTATCGTCTTATTGGTTGAATCATGTTTATTAATTCAAAAGCCTTTAAAACCATTTTTTTTGTCATTATGAGAACTTTATATTTAAAAAAAGCATTTAAATAGCATGAGTGCCATGGTTGCTTGAATTTCGATTTGAGGTTATTCACCCTTTCAAGTTTTAAAATCCACCCGTTCTTTAACCTCATCTCTGTAGAAATGATGAGTAGCCATACACAACTTGTGCCAACACCTCATATCCGATTCGCATGGCTGTCAATATCGACACATGTTACAGACGAAAGTATACAAATGATGTAAATTGTGAGAAGATTTGTATGATTGAGTGGTCGAGAGGAATTGACCCACACTGGGGCCCTCCTGAATGAGAAAGGACGTTCCCTTCTGTGGAAGTTCGTAGCATTTATGCTGTGAAGCTACCCATGAGGCTTCTTGGGGCCCCTTTGCTCATCATCATTGCGATGGCCGCTTCTGTTTCTATGTCGTTGACCCTTTTTGTAACCCCAATCTAGGTCATTGCTACATCCGTTTTTGACTTTTGGTGGTGGCCATCTTTTTATTTCTGGCTTCAGCTGCCTGGTCATTGGTGGTAGTTGACAAAATTGCAAATCAAGAGACTTGAAACTAAGAGTGAGAAGACAAACAATTACCAAGGGAAATTGTCCCAAGTGAAGAATTGCCCATCACGCTCTCGTATAGGTTATCAACCTGTCCTTTTGAAAGAAATTGCGAAATGGTGTTGCGAAATTTTTTGAACCTGTCTTGCCTTTGCTCTGGGTGACGGTGTTGCTGAGAATTTAAAATTATGATTTACCATATTTTTGATCGTATCGTGATTTCTCATTTCCTAAAAGAAACCAGAATGGTGTTGCAGTTTAACCTGTTCAGATTCACATTTTTCCCACGTGAAAAATAACTTTTATCAATAACTTTATCAATAATTTTTTATCCATTAGGGAAACACATTAGAATTAAGAATTTTTTGAATAATTATTAATTACTTNGTAAATTTATATATATATCTGAACTATCCATATGCTTAGTATTTATCACAGTTACCATTTATTATTAATAACCACCAATGAAATTTCGTCAAAGTAATAATTTTCAACGCATTTGGCTCGAGACTTTTTATACGCGCGCGTAATAGTAGTTCCCTACATGAACAGCTAGACAATGTAAATGGCTTCTATTCATTGGCTTCTAAAAAAAAACATTTATATCTTGTATATTTATTAAAAAAACAATACATAATTTACTTAGTTAAAAAAAATTACAGTTTTTTAATAATTTTATATTTTATTTAAAAATATTTTTTGTTACTGTGAAGAAAAAAAATCCCCCTTTATTTTGAGTAATATTGCATTGAAAAATTCATATAACCCACTGAATAAAAGAAAAATTGCCCACTCAGAATTCACAAAAAGAAAAGAAGGGAAAAAAATGAATGCAAGAAATTTGTTTTGTCGCGATATAGAAAAAGATGTAAAATACATCTTCTCAAAATCTCTTATTTTACCCTCTTACGTGTCATCTACGTTTTTGTTACATTATTTTTTTTTATTGAAAAAAAAAATTGTTTCCTTTCCTTTTGTCTCTTGCTTGTCGAATGTCCCAGAGAGGCCATCCCCTCCATTCACTTCTTCGCTCTATCATCCGACTCTCACGCCGATGGTGTGAAGAAGAACGATAGAATATTTCTTCTGATTCTTCGGATGGAAGGAAGAAGAGAGCGAGAAAAAGACAGACCAGTGGCTGTCATCCGTAACTGTAGTCACGGAATAGGGCGAGCTTTAAATTTCACGAATATCGACAAGCTTTCGTTCGTTCCCTTCCCCACCCATCACCATCCCTACCCACCCTCCAAACTGACCAGATCGACGATCGATACTTTTTTATATATATATATATATTCTCTCTTTTCCCCCTTCAGTTTCATCATTCTCTAAAGACGAAGGTAGCGCTCCCTGGTGATCTCGATACTCGTTTTGAATTTTTTACATGGGTGAAAAATTAATTTGAAGCTCCTTAGTTTGTTGTCCTTTAACTTAGATGCTGTCAAACTACGCAACATTCATCATTTTTGTAAAACTTCTTTTAAATTACTCTCAACTTTCAATTCATTGTAAAATATTTTGTAACCCGAAAGGTGTATTCAATGGGCTTTATTTTATTCCGCAGCAAAAACTTAGAAGTTGAAAACGATTCCAATTATGTTTTATTTTTAAATCGATAATTATAAAATCGTTTTTTTTATTTCATATAAAATTTTATCTAAGCCTCATTGAAAAATACTATTTTTGATTGAAAAATTGAAAACGATAAAATTTAAAACGATTCTAATTATTTTTTATTTTTTAATCAATATTTATAAAATAGTTTTTTTGTATAACATTTTATCTAACCCTTATTGAAAAATGCTATTTTTGAATGAGAAATTGAAAACAATTAAAATTTAAAATCGAAAACGATTCTGATTATTTTTTAATCGATATTTATAAAATTGTTTTTTCGTATAAATTTTTATCTAAGCCGCATTGAAAAATACTATTTTTGAATGAAAATGATACAAAACGATTATTGTGATTCAAAAATAATACTTTTCAGTATTGTAAAGATATACATATAAATAATGATTTACTTTGAGGAAACATTCCTCGTCATTAAAAAAAATTATCCAGCTCATTTGCTATTATATTAGATGATATAAAAAAAGACAAGTTTCTCTCTCTCTCTTTTTTTTTTTTTTTTNAATCTACAAAATCGTTTTCTCTTAATACTGTATTAATCTGTTTGAAAGTTTTCTTTTTAATTCACATGATATCGTATCCCCGATTTACTTTTTGGATTGAAAATTAATTTACAGCATTAGGTTATTAGTAGGGAGAAATTTGAGTGCTAATTTTAACATATTTCTTACAAAATATGTGAATACAAGGTTTTTTTTTTCCTTCGAAACAGATCATCAGAGATATCATTTAAAAATGAGACAATTGGTATAGTAGCAGAAAACGATTTTTAGTTGGTGCATTTTAATAATCGCTAATTGTGAAGTAAATTTTTAAAAACCGTGTGTGAAATTGTAAGGTTAAAATTTGTTTCAAAAACTAATATATGTGTTGCTTTTTTTTCTAGAAACTAGTAAGTGTCGCTCATTTTCCTTTTCATTAACGTCCTACTTAAAGAGTAAAATTTCCAAATTTAAAAGCTTCGTTTTAAATTGAAAAAAAAAAACCCTAATAAAGATACGTATTATTAATTAAAAAATAGCTTTAATTATTATACTAATTTAATGTAAGAGATGTTACGGATTTGTAGTTAATTCCCTTTCGCCATTTCCTACCACTGATAGAAATGCGTGCACGTGCTCAGGTAGAGCAACGAAGCGTGCGTGCTCCGTGCAAGACAAACTCAAAGTGAGGAAAAAATGTCCTCCCAGCTTGTCCACAAAACTCTAGTTGTGGGAGGAGGGAAGGAGAAATCCGCAAGGAAATGAAGGCATCTTTCGTTTTGTGTGTCTGATTGATTGATTGAATACGAGATGGAGAGAGAATCTATTTACGTATGAAAACTGCTGAGACACAGAGTAGAGAGAAAGAGGCGGAGGAAGAAGGGATGTTTTCTGGCTAAAGTGGTTGGCGACGAGGGCGCTGTAGTCGAGCCAAGTGACGGCGGCACGAGTCAGAAGCCGTGTGGCGCTCAATGGGTTCGCACGCGTAGAGACAGCACGCCACAATCTCTATACACCTGACGCGGCACTAAGAAGATGCAAGTCGACGCGGACTTCTAGAACTTGTCTTTATTATTTTTATTTTTTATTACGAAATACTTTTTTCATCATTCCTAACCTACCTCAGTAACGGTTGCCTTACAAGTTGTTTGACAGACGGGGGAAATAAACAGTGATTTTATTCTCCGTATTTTTTAATCTCGCCTTTTTACCGAGAGGAAAAACAAACAAAAAAAACTGTTTTGTGTTGTTATTTTGGAGAATTGTTGTGTAATGGATGGCAGAGCGGGTGTTGACTTGCCGCACGGCTGAAATAACGGAAAAATAAAGAAATGGATGCCGTGAATGTGTCTCCATTCTTCCCGCTTTTGTGGGCAAGCAAGTTCGGACCTCGGCTGCCCTGGCCGACCAACATCGGCAATAGGGGCACCAACGGATCCTCTTCTTCGGCAGATGACACTTCACCTCATGAACACCCTGGTGAGTACCCTTTCCTGTAGTTCCCGTGAAACACTTCCTACGTTCTACTTTCTTTCGAATACAATGAACTTCACACTTTTAGATAAATTATTAGGAAATTTGTTATGCGTATAATGTTTTCAAATATTTTACCTTCGGTAAAAAATGAGGAAACTTGTTATGCTGGTAATATAAGAATGCTTTCGAAAAATACAACAGCATTTCAATATGAATTTTGATGCAATTTGTAATAACTGTTATACATCAGAGCTTTCAAATATCTTTAAATGTGAAAAAATTTTACTAAACTTAAGCCGGTAATGTATGAGTGATTTCGATCTCAATAACTTCGGAATATGAAAAGTAATAATAATTAAGAGAGAATTTGTATGGCTTCAAATATGAAAATTAATAATTGTTTCAAAATTTGTTCAACAGATAATAAATATATCAATGCTTTCAAATAAGAATAATCTTAGAATGTAAAAAAAATAATAATAATAATAATAAAAGGAAGTTTAACGCAACATGGTAAACATATAAAGTAACACTTTATATATTGTGCGTTGTAATGTTAGAAAAATAATTTTGAAAGTTGGTAAGTCTTTGATGGTGAACTTTAATAGAAGCGCGTTTTATCTTATTGTAATTTCGAATACATTGAACTTTAACTTCAATTTTTAAAATACATAAATAATTACATATATCTGCGACAGTGAAAATATATTAACGTAATGGAAGGTGTTTTCAAATGTGTAGTACTTTGACTTTAAAAAGTAACTAAAACTATTTTTAAGCTGGTAATATATCAAGATGCTGTAACTTTTTAATACGGAATTTATTACATCATTATGGTAAATAAATTTCAAAGAGTGATAATTTAAAATACGTTGAGCTTTAACATTAAAAACTAACAATAATTAAGAAGTTTGTCATGGTAAACTTATATAAATTGATGAACCTCTTCAAGATAATAAATTTGGTCTTCAAACAAAAAATTGCAAACGCTTAACAAATATTCAAAATTTTATTGCTTCCAATTATAAAATAATTAATTTGTTGGAATAACTTGTAAAATTTGCCCTGATAGACTTATTTGACGATTTTTACGAAATAATTACTAAGTTTCGATTAAATTGATTTAAAACCTTTTTACAGATAATTTGTAAATCGTGTGACGATAAACATTTTTGTTAATTACCTAATTATTTTGTTAGGGAGAATTTTTAAAATTTAACTCCATTTTATTTATTTATAAATTATTTGATTTAAATTAATTAATTCATTTTGGAATTAGTTAACTTTTCTTTCTCCCTATTGCGCGTTCTTGTTCTTTCCGTCCTGAATTTATTATAAAGCTAATTTTAACTTATGAACTTATGCTTAAAACATTTAAACCTTCAGTTTTGAGCACTTAACATTTTTCATATTTCTTATTAAATTAACTGCTTCGTAAATGTCCTAAAATGAATTATGTATTAAAATCTCATCATTTATAACTCAAGTTTCGTATCAGGCCCTCAACCCTGCTTGTTTTGATTTAATTACCATAGTTGACTACAGCTTTAAAATAATTCATTTGTTAAAATCTTATTATTTATAACTCAAATTTCATATCAGGTCCTCGACCCTGCTTGTTTTGATTTAATTATTTGATTAATTATGATCACATTCCATAATAATTCAATTGTATTTTATATTATAATTTTTTAATTGATATTTATTTTTTTAAATAATTAAGCTTTTGTATAAAATTTAAAAGAAGAATTTGAAATGTAAAGTAGTTTTTCACTTAAACTAAATCTATATTATTTTGTGAGCACAGTTTAGTTAAACTGCTTATTTATTCATTTTAAAGTCTAAGTTCACTTTAGTAATATGTTAACATTGATGTAATATTTTTTTGATTTATAAGCAACCTCTGTTNTTTTTTTTTTTTTTTTTTTTTTTTTTTTTTTTTTTTTTTTTTTTTTTTTTTTTTTTTGTATTTTAACATTGCCTATTGGTCAATTATGTCAATATTGGTCAAACACAGAAAAAAAAATTTTGGTAAAATTACCATACTGTATAACTTGGTAACTGTATAATAATCACATTATTTTTAAATAATAATTATTCTGGTTATTAAAACCAAAATATACGGTATTTCAGCCATCCATTTGGTAGTTTTTCCATTCATATGGTAACTGTTAACCGGAAATTCTGGTTTTTAAAATTATAGTTCTTATTATCACACATTTAGTAAAAACATACAAAACTGAAAAGTAAATTTGTCCGAATAAATGGTTTTATGCCGTGCTCTGGAGTACAATAAAATTACTAAATTTTCCACATTTACAAAACATTATAAAACTATATTAATTGTTAATTTTGCCAAAATCATTTCAGAAGCGCTTCGGTAAAAATTACCGAGCTTTGTGGTATTCCCATAGTGCCAGAAACACAGTAAATTTTGTCATTATATGGTTGTTTTGACCATACTTTTTTTCTCAGTACCGGACCCCTATATTCTCTTGTATACTCCCCTCCCCCTTTTTAATTTTTTGTTTTCTCAATTATTTGATCCCGTTAAACCAAAAACCTACTAATATATGTGTTTGGCGCCGTACAACCGCTATCGGCTTTTGTGTCATTAAACTCATTAAATTTAATCAAGTGTCATCAAATTTTACTCATCTTTAGTTTTACTTAACAAGCAGTAATTTCTAATCTTTTGGCATGCTTAGAAAGTTCTTTTTCTAAGTCGCGCCACGCGAATGGCCATTTTTAACAATTCGAAAAATCGGCATTACAATTAAAAAATTGAGAATCTTTAACGTTTCCCAGTGTCCGTGAGAAAAAATTGCGTCGCCCAAAGGATTATCGGTGCTTTAGATTGTATCACATATTTCAGGTAAATTAAAACCCTTTATGGCAACGATAATAGCGAATAGTTATTGTTACGTGTATATTTTGCTTTGTTAAGTTTCGAAGCTATTAATTCCATACATAACAAAACGTAGTTGTCAGAAAACAAGTGTTATATAACTTTTGTTAAATCCCAATTTTTAAAATGCGTTTCGTTAAAGATTTCGAAATTTCTTCCAATCTTTCGTTAAAGATTCGAAGTTTTCAACTACAATTATGGTAATTTATTTTTTTAATTCTAATATTAAAATATTATTTCTTTAAAATTGTCTTTATTTCTAGCTGAATAACGCATTGGTTTATAATAATGAGTTTAAACTATATCAAACATTGTTTCTTCAAACTATCTTTTACTTTTTAAATAATAAACTTCCACTAATTCGAAAGTGTTTGTTGTTTAATTTTGATTATCATAAAGTTTTTATTTTTTACAAATGCTATTAGAAGTATATATCATTTAAAAACATGCTTAATATAAGATATTGAAATTCATTTTCATCTAATAACATTAAAAGTAGTTAGATCGAACAGATAGTCAAATTCCAATGCGAGAACTAGCGAACCATAACAACTGAACATTATAATCGTGAAATAATGACGAGCTATTTTTTTGTTCTGTCCGAAGATTCATTTAAAAGTTAGGCGCAACACAGAGCAACAAATTCTGGTATAATGTTAAGACATTTCTGGTAAAAAACAAACAAACATAATTCTAGTTTATAAAAACAAAGTGTATGGCATTTAAACCATTCCATTTGGAAATTTTGCCGTTCATATGGTTCATACGGAAATTCTGGTTTTCAAATTCATAGTTCTTATTACCTCACATTTAGTAAAAAATACAAAACTGAAAAGTAAATTTAACCGAATAAATGATTTTTATGCCATGCTCTAAATTATTCATTGTAAAATTATCAACTTTTACCATTCCTAAATTTTATCATATATATTATAAAACCATATTTTATTGTTAATTTTACTAAAACCAATATAAAAGCGCTTCGGTAAATATTACCGAGCTCTTTGGTATTCCCAAATAACCAGAAACAAGGTCAATTTTACCATATTCTGGAAGTTTTAACCAGAATTTTTTTCAGTACCCAAGCGAGTTTTTCAAATGTTGTCATAGTAGTCGAATAGGATGTTTTTATAATGTATGTATTATGATTTGCAAGCATTACAATTACAAAAAAAAATATTAAAAGTTTCTAAGTTTAAAGTGGCTAAATAATATCAGAATAAAAATTCAGAGTTCCTTTTACTTTTTATAGCGATTTAATATCAAATTTATTACTTTTAAAAGAATAATTTCAGAAAATAGACAGAGTTAAAACACAGTTTTTATGTGCAAAAGCTGTAAAACAATGGGCATATGTTCGAAATTTTGCTTTTTAGGAATGTTCTCGAATCTCAAATAAGAAATCAAATTTTTTAATGCATTTATTTATCGATATTTAGAGTCTAGAAAAATAATGCCGGAAATTTTTTTTTTGTTATTTCCTTTTTCATTATAAAACCATAAAATTTGAAAAATATAGGATTTTCTGAAGAATATTGAACAATAATTACTTAAATGTCGCCAAACTAATGATAAAAAATATAGTCTAGAAGATTATTTTGAAGTTATTTTATTGCATGCTAACGAAGAAACGAAATTATCTACGTAAGAGGTATAATCGACACAATTGATAACATTTTGAGTAAATAATAGATTGAAAAGTAGTAGAAACGCATATGGTTCCTTAACTTTAAGCAAAAAACTTAAAATTTAATGTCGAAATTAAGAAATTAAGTACAATCTCTTGTTGTCGGAACTGAAGTACATTTTTTTTTATATATATTAGTATTTCTTGTATTTTAAATAAAAAGAAAGTCATGTAAAATGCTTTTTGTTTTATATACCTAAAATTTGTAACTTCACAAAGTTTAAAAATAAATTCTCACATAAGTCGCACAGGAATCACATTTTGCTGCAAAGCCTGTAAAATTTGTGCTTGATTGGCGAGTTAAAACATCGTTCTTTTGTAGAGCATGATCTATAAATAATATTCAGCATGACTTCACTGTTAGAAAATATGAAACGTGTTAAACCGTTTTGTTTTATTCACATTTGC